TTATGTTATTATTATGAATTATATGAATATTTATCAATATATTATGAATATTTTGAACTACGAAGAGGAGAAGAGAAAAAATCGCTCAATCTGACAACGCTGGTGACGCCATGCATTTGATCGAGCCAATTTTTATGATACTTGAATTTCACATTGAATCCATATCACTAATATAATCATTGACATAGCTACTAACCTTTTGCTTCCAATTGCGTACTTACACTCTTGTGTATCTGCGATAACAATATTTAGCTTTGAAATTCACTTCAGTGTACAAATATATTCGCGTTGGCGGCCAACATTAATTTCTGTACGCGGGCAGAAACACAAGTGTTCGTTAGCATTTAATAATATTCGAAGCGGAGTTCTTTTTGTTACTTTATTTGGTTAATTTTTTGGTTTTATCATACGCTCGAAGGTTTGAAAATGTGTGAAGCGCTTAAAGGATTATCTTATCATATAAATTTCTCCAATCTTAAGTAGCGAACTAGTCATTCGAGTGTTCGTGAATTCTACGAGAAGTGTAAATTAAAGACATGATCATCACGATTTTATTGGTAGTACTTCTTGCAATCTGTTTGCATTACTACCTGTTGCATTTCGGAAAGTATGGAAGGGTAATGAACTTGATACCTGGCCCACCGGCTGTGCCCATTTTTGGAAATCTTCTAGATTTTCTCGTTTCACCACGTAAGATACGTTTGCATTAACGAATACGAGTTAAAAAATATTTAAGTCGTATCTCGCAACTATTTCAATTTGTTCGGACCATTGTAGCTGGAGTATGGACGAAGTCAAGGGAACTGAACAAGCAGTATTATCCCATATTCAAGCTCTGGTTGTTTTGGGAAGCCCATGTATGTATCCGCCATCCGGACGACATCGAGGTAGCAAAAATTGAATTATATTAAATTATAAAAAAAATGTACCGGTATTATTGATACATGTATCAGTAAAATCGTTAATCTCTTAAGGATGTATTGGCTATACAGTCAATCCCAAAAGTCTATGTACCTTAGAAAAACGCATTTCCTATAATTAAAAAGAAATCAGACGTCGGAAGAACAATGCTAATAATAAATAGCTACGTGCTAAAAAGTATAGAAGGAAAT